TTCATTTACAATTCAGAATCAGATTAGGAAAATAATTCCTTTTTTAAGAAGGGAAATGCCATTGCTAAATTCAATAGGCTTCTCAGACCTACTGAGTGAAAACATTCTCATACTATACTCATTCTTATATTCAATAAGAATATACAGAGAAGCTAGTAAACTTTGGGTCAAATATGTTAATACCTAGTTATTGAAAAGCAGTATAGCAAAAAGTGCTGATATGAAATGACAAGATGAAATATGTCTCATAAATAGTAAATGAACAAAAAAAGAAATATGGCATTTAGTGGACAAATTTCAGAGACATTTTCTGAAAGTGATGAAAAAAGGAATTGAGATGAAAATCAAAAGAGACTAGATTGTTGCACAGGGTTTGGGCTGAATATTCAATCTAAGCATTACAAGTATAAGCAAGGAGGGAGAACAAGGAACAAGAAAGAAAAATATGAAAGAAATGCAATAATCAATTGAAAAAATATGTTTTTTGATTTCAAAAATGTCTAAGACCTCACACCATACACAAAAATTAACTAAAAATGGTTCACAGATCTAAATATGAGTGAGCAGCATAAAAGAACAAAACAGGAAAAAATCTTGATGACTTCAGGTTAGGCAATGATTTCTTAGACACAGCACTAAAAGTACAAACAATGAAAGAGAGTAATAACAAGTGGGACTTTACTAAAATAAAAGCTTCTCTGCTTCAAAGAACACATTAAGAAAGTGGAGAGACAGCCCATCGAATGGAAAAATATACATTTGTAGATCATTACATCTCACAAGGACTTGTATCCAGAACAACTATAACTTAAGAAGATAAATAACCCAATCTGATGAATGATCAAAGGATAAGAAGAGACATTTGGCTGAGGTGCCTGGGTGGCTCTGTTGGTTAAGTATCCGACTCTTGATTTTGGCTCAGGTCATGATCTCAGGGTCGTGAGATTAGCCTTGCGTCGGGCTCCAGGCTGGGTGTAGAGCCTGCTTGAGATTCTCTCTCTCTCTCCCTCTGGTCCTCCTTCCCCTCAACTTGAGCTCGCTCTATCCTCCCCAAAAAAGAAAAAGGACATTTGGCTAATACACACATGAAAAGATGCTCAACATCATTTGTCACTAGGGAAATACAACAAAACCACAATGAGATACCACCTCACACGGACTAGAATGGCTCTCATCAAAAGGACAGACAACAGGGGTGTCTGACTGGCTCAGTCAGTGGAGCATACGACTTTCAATCTCAGGGTTGTGAGTTCAAGCCCCATGATGGGTGTAGAAATTGCTTAAAAATAAAATCTTGGGGCACCTGGGTGAAGCCACCCAGGTGGCTTAGTCAGTTGAGCATCCAACTCTTGATCTCAGCTCAGGTCCTCATCTCAGGGTCATGAGTTCAAGCCCCGTAATGGGCTCTATGTCAGGCATGGAGCCTACTTAAAATAAAAAAATAAATAAAATAAAATCTTAAAGGGGCACATGGCTGGCTCAGTCGGAAGAGCATGTGACTCGATCTCGAGGTCGTGAGTTCGAGCCCCAGTTGGGTGTTGCGATTACTTAAATAAATTAAAAAAACTTAAAACAATAACAAGTGCTGGTGAGATGTGGAGACACTGGAACCGTCATACACTGCTGGGCGTGCAGCCTCTTTGAAAAAGTCTGGAAGTTCCTCAAAAGGTTAAACATAGAGTATCATATGACCCAGTAATTTCACTCCAAGGTATGCACTCAAAGGAACTAAAAACATATGTCCACACAAATCCTTGTACAAAAATGTTCATAGCAGTATTATTTGTAACAGCCAAAAAGTGCAAAATAACTCAAATGTCTATCAACTGATGATTAGATGGACAAAGTGTGGTAAATCTATACATGGAATATTAATCTGTAATAAAAGAAATGAAGTACTGATACATGTTACTAGATGAACCTGAAAAAACATGTTAAGTGAAAGAAGCCAGTCCAAAAGACCACACATTGTATGAGTCTCTTTATATGAAATATCCTAAATAGGGAAATCTATAGATACAAAAAGTAGATTAGTGGTCGGGTCCCAAGGGCTGAGGACTGGGGAAGGGGGTAGTCACAGCTAAGGGGTATGAGCTTTCTTCTGGGGATGGTTAAATGTTCTAAAATTAGATGGTGCTGATAGTACCCAACTCTGTAAGGATACTAAACCACTTAACTACAAACTTTGAGTGAATTTTATTATATGAAATACAGCTCTATAAATTAGAAGGGAGAGGAGGAGGGGAAGGGGACCGAGCTCCTATAACCCTGTTAATGTTTTAAGAGTTGAGAATAAAAGAGTTTGGGAGTCACAAAGGATTTTCATGCAAACTTTTAAACGCCTTCTCACTCTTTAAATCTACTACCACTTTAACTTTTTTATTTGCCTTAATTTCAACAAGCACACAGAGGTGTGTGGGAAATTTGCTTAACAAATATGCTAGGGCGCCTGGGTGGCTCAGTTGGTTAAGCGACTGCCTTCGGCTCAGGTCATGATCCCAGGGTCCCGGGATTGAGTCCCACATCGGGCTCCCTGCTCGGCAGGGAGCCTGCTTCTCCCTCTCCCACTCCCCCT